CCGCCCCCCGTCCCTCCCTCTGTGTGTATGTCTCCTGGTGCATGTGTAGGGATCAGAGATCAAAGAACAACTTGCAGAGTCAGTTTTCTCCTTCCACTGTGTAGGACCTGGGCACTGAACTCAGGTCATCAGGCTTGGTGGCACCTCTGCCCACTGAATCATCTCATCAGCCCCCACTGCCACATTTCTTGACTCCCCACAAGTCATGGGAATTATCACGACTTGTGTAAAAGAACTACTAGGGGGCTGGAGGGATGGCTCAGCAGTTAAGAGCCCCAGTCCAGTAAGAAACCCTATTAAACAAAACAAAACAAAAACAAGATGTGTGTGTGGTGGGGGGCGGCTGAGGGACAGCTCAGCAGTTAAGAGCACTGACTGCTCTTGCAGAAGACCTGGGTTCAATCCCAGCACACACATGGCAGCTGACAACTGCCTGTAACTCCAGTTCCAGGAGATCTGATGCCCTCTTCTGACCTCCACGGGCACTGCATGGCACCAGTACACTTGCATGCAGCCATGACACTCATACACATTTTTAGAAAAAGAACCACCAGTTATACATTATTACGTGTGACGAATTGAAACAAAAATTATTGGAAGCCTTCCGAGAAATAATTCCAGCAATAGGGTTAAGGGAAGGGGGTGTCGTTAGAGGTAAGGAGATGAATCAGAGCCTACAGGAAGAAGAGACGGTAACATAAAAAACTCCGAGGAAGGGAGGAAGACCTGTGGAGGTGGTATGTGTAGCAGAGACCAGGCAGTGCATTGCTAAAACCGCTCTAGCTGTGCCAGACTTACTGCTCAGGACTCTTGCAACGAATGGTCCTGACCTGTCCTTCCTCTTCTAACTCAGAACTAGGGTGGGACCCGGGAAGACATTTTGTACTCAAGATGAAGTGAAGTTAGAAAACAGAGCCCATGAGATAGACTGCCGGGAGGGCTGTGGAGAGGGCTCTGAGGAATGGGATAAGGTTGCAAAGGGCCGACTGCTGACAGGAAGCAGTGGCAGAGGCTCCACACTACATACAGGTTTAAGGACAACAGTGGGATCTGCAAGGACAGGCAGCAGTTACCAAGCTATGTGACTGCAGCCTCAGTCTCCAGTGTCCTCAAGCAGACTCTACTCCTGTCATCATGAGGTATATCACTAATGTGAGGAAGTGGAGAGATGGCCCAGTGGTTAAGAGCACTGGCTGCTCTTACAGAGGACCTGGGTTCAGTTCCCAGCACCCACATGGTGGCTACCAACCACCTGTAACTCCAGTTCCAGGGATCTGATACCCTCTTCTGATCTCTGAGGGCACTGCACAACACAGGTGCACTTACATATATACAGACAATATACTCATACTCACAATACTCAGCTACCCTGCCCTGTGCTGAGCCTAGAAGCAATCTGCACAGCTCTCACCACAGGCAATGCTCAGCACCTGCCAGACCTGTGTAAAGGAAGGGTGGCCTTACCAGTCAGCAGGCGCCCCCGGGATCCCACTGCCAGGGGCGGGCACCAGCACCGCATTTCTCTCCTCCGTCAGCCCCACCCACTGCTCCACCAGCCGGGCCTCCCGCTCCACATCATCCTCCGTTTTCTCTGTAGAAGGACAGAAGGGCACGAGATAAGAGAGAAGGGACATCTGCTACATTTAAAATAACTGGATTTTCACCCCATGACGTCCAAAATGGGCTAAGTGTCCATCATAATCCAAAGAAAGAATAAAGGCACTGAAGATCAAGGGGCTGCAACAACACCAGCTTAAGGTACCACAGGCCAGGAGCACTACCCAGAGAAGGAACCGCAACCTGAAGAAGGGCTGGACCACCGGCACTGTGATGGGGGAAGGTTAGGACACCACCACATCTACTTCACACCCTGGTGGAATGAGCCAGGAGAAGCAAGGGATGCAATAACACTGAGAACATCTCCGACCTCTCTGTGAAACCTTTGACTTTCCTCCACGTCCACTGTGGAAGTGATTTTACTTGATGAGCTGTGAAATCCTTACTTCCCTAACTCAATTCTGTGCTTGTTTTCAGTGAGCTGAGTACATACACCAAGATGGTTTACCAAAGGACGATTTCTGTAGGAAATGGATGTGTTAGCTGGTACAGCATTAATAACCATGAACAGATCACGAAGTCAGGAGAGCATGGGGATTGTGTTTTACATAATTATTTTTTGAGACAGAGTCTCGTGAAGCCCAGGCTAGCCTTGAACTTAACTATGTAGCTGAGGATGACCTTAAATTTTTTTAAAAAATTAATTTAATTTTATGTGTATGACTGTTTTGCTTGCATGCATCTAAGTGTACCTGTGTCATGCAATGCCCACAGAAGCCAGAAAAGGGAGTTGTATCATCTGGAACTGGACTTAAGGACAGTTGCTAGTTGCCATATGGGTGCTGGGAACTGAATCTGGGTGCTCTGGAAGAGCAGCCAGTGCTCTTAACTGCTGAGCCATCTCGCCAGCCTGACCTTGAACTTTTAATCCTCCTGCATCCACCTCCAGAGTGCCAGGATTACAGGCCCAGATGTGGGAATGGAACACAGGGTTTTGCATGCTAGGCAAGCATTCTACCAACTGAGCTACATCCCCAGCCTTTCATAGCCTTCTTGAACTAACACTGTACACCTTGATTCTCTAATATCTGTAATCGTTTCTTAATTGTTCAAGACATTAAAATGCTAAGAAAAGAACTTTCTATTGCTCCACAGAAGTGAAAACACTACTCCAGGAGAACTTAATCCTGCGTACATATTTATTTACTTACTTACTTATTTATTTATTTATTTATTTATTTATTTATGGAACCAACATTGTAGGCGGATGGGGCATCCATGCTACAGTGCATGTGTGAAGGTCAGGGACAACTTGTGGGTGGAAATCAGTTCTTTCCTTCCACCAGGTAGATGGCAGGAATTGAACTCAGGTCATCAGGCTTGGAGGCAAGCGCCTTTATCTGTGGAGCCATCTCACAGGCTTCCTCATATACCTTAAAAAAAATTTTATATACTATTTCTGTTTAAAGCATATGAGTGTATTGCCTGCATGTAAGTGCACCACATGTGTACAATGCCCGCAGAAGCCAGAAGAGGGCGTCAGGTCCCCTGGAACTGGAGTTATGAGGTGGTCGCTAGTCACTATATGGGTGCTAGGAAAGTCCTGGGTCCTCTGGAAGAACAGCAAGTATTCTTAACTGTTGAACCATCTCTCTAGCCCCCACATACCTTTTTTATTGCTGACTTTTTTAATCTGTTCATCTAAGTATTCCCGTCGTTTAATGAGTGCATCTGACCACCTCTCTCTTACACAGTTTAAGTCTTCTTCCTGACAACAGAGAACAAAGTTTTTTTTTCTACAGAGTGTGCAAAGATTTCTTTTGTTTACAGAAAGATACTTAAAACAGATCGGGAAACTTTTCATTAGGAAAGGCCATTGAATTTTGCAATGATTAATATGTGAGAAAGCAGAGGCCATCACACTGCATGCTGACCAAAGATGCTGGTGCCTGGAAACCAGAGCCCCAAACCTCTGAAAGGAGAGATACACTTAAAGGTAAGGCAAGCTCAGCCAATGCTTGCTACAGGATGATTTTTATGTGTGTGTGTGTGTGTGTGTGTGTGTGTGTGTGTGTGTGTGTGGTAGTGATTCATTGAAAGATGTGTGATTTTAAGCAGGACGCCATACACAGAGCTCCAAGCACAGAAGTCAAATGGAAGAGAGAGTAACAGGTATGACCGTAATTCACAGTTCAATAGCCTTATTATTGATATGTGTATTTTCTGAAATGCAAAGACTAGGCCAGTAGAAAACCTTCTGAACTTGCCACCAAGATTTCACATCCAACGGCCACCATAAGGATAACCAAAAATGCCCCATGCAAACATTGAACATGCAGTCAGCCATGCTTGGAAAATTCCAGAAGCAGACACTAGACTCCACCACCAGAAACATGGCAGGAAGCTCGCCAGCAGCCAGAGCCACTAGTCAATGGTACCGATGCCACCACTGAGACTCTGGGATTCTGATCTAGGCCCAAGGCTTGCTTTCATTCTTTGTTAGTAAAATTATGACCAGGGAAAGGAAATCCATTAATTGTATCCCAAATGCCATTGGCCTAATTCTCGATAGTAACAAAACAAGCACTGGGGGCCTCCGAAGCTTTTCCTACAATGTCCCCACAGTTGACATACATGAAGGCACAGAGAAAACCCACGCCTGAGACCTTCATCTTGGCCTACTGCTTTGACTGTGACCCCACTGTACTCCATGATGTCAGGCTAGTTGAGGCTGACCAGGTTTATTCTCCACTTCTGTTCAATTTCCTACATTTCCAACAAGAAAAGCTGAGCTTTAAATTCTCTACATGATGGAGAACTAAGCTAGGTCTCAATGAGAAGGAAATGCTGACTAAATAAAACAAAACAAAGCTACGTGTATCATCTCCAAGCCGGCTAGAAAACTGTAGGTGATTTAACTGTGAGACGACATATTAGAGTAATACTAGTCTCCCAGAAATGAGAGGCAAAGTGCAGTTCAGCAGAAGAGAGACAGGAGTGGATGGAAGGACTGTGTGTGGAAAAAATGTGTGTTTTAAAGATCAGTCACAGTAATATAGCGATAATGGTCTCGCATAGCAAGGCTTCACAAGCTGGTCACCATGGCGCATAGCGGGCAATGCAGTATCCAGTTATAGATTCTGAACTGATAGGGAAAATCTCCAGCAATGGTCTCATGTCCTGATTACAAACAAAGCAAATCAAAAACAAGTGAAAAATTGTACACTCTCGCTCTGTGGCCCTGCCCCCACCTCCCCGGCCTCTGCTCTGCGAAGGCTGGCGATTAGCGAGAGCTGTGCCCCATGCCACAGGACTGACAGCAGCAGCAGTACCTGATAACTATCCATATCATCACCATCCTCCTCATCTCTCTGGTGGGAAAAAAAATAAACACAAAGGACATGCATTTTGTTTTCTCAAACAGCACACAGGGAAAATAATTTAACACATGTGTTACAATGGCCACTTCGCACGACATTAGCCCAATAAAGCATTTCACTAAATCCCAAAAGATTTAAATGGGTGTAGTTGTTCATCTGTCTATAATAGGACTCTGTGTGTGTGTGTGTGTGTGTGTGTGTGTGTGTGTGTGTGTGTGTATGTGTGTGTGTGTGTGTGTGTGTGTGTGTTGCTACATAATGAACCCAGGGCCTTGTACGTGTCAGGCTGAATTCTACCATTGAGCTATACCTCCAGTCTTATAATTAAACACTTTCTATTATATACATGTTTTGACTGATTGGTTGTAGGGGGGCATGAAGGTCAGAGGACAACTTGTGGGAGTTGGTTTTCTTTCTACCATGTGGATCCCGGGGATCAAACTCAGGTCATCAGTCTTGGCAGCAAGCCCCTTTATCCACCAAGCCATCTTGCCAGACTCAAGAATTTTTTAAAAATAAGGAAAACAACTATTTTTAAGAAACTTTTCTTAGATGGGTATAGAAGAAACATTCCTGGGACAGGTCTTCCGCCACCACCATGCAGACTGACAGGTGACACATAGTTCCTGGTAGACTGAAGTTTGGAATGTACTTAGCACAACAGAAAGGTTTCCTACAAAGGATGTCAGGAATTCTCTTGCCTCATCTTAGTTTGGGCCTTAGAGGAGGAAATGATTTAACCCAAGGTTCACACAGGTAGAGGCTGCTTAGGACAGAGGCCAAGCTGTTAGTCCCTAGCCCCATCTATCCTTCCCTCTAGTTTGGGACAAAATCACTCACAGTGTGCCTGGGCTAAGGGTTCTGTGCTGGACTACTGTAGACCAAGCACTCACGCTATTAACATTTATGTTATTAGTATCACAGTATTCTCTGTGGACTATGACAATCAGTGGAAAAGACCACAACTGCCCTAAAGGCATGACTACACTTCACAATAATTACATAAAGTGACAATTTTGGTAAAAATATCAGGCGAAACAAAGAACTAAGCTGAAAACAAAAGACAAATTTCCTTAGAAACAGAAGTACAGAAATCCATGAGCTGTCATCACCATCACTGTCATCGTCTTGTTGTTTTTGAGACAGAGTCTTAATATGCAGCCCTGGCTGATCTGGAACTCACTGTGTAGACCAAGCTGGCCTTGAACCTGTAGTGATCCTGTTTCTGTCTCCTGACTTCGGGAAAACAGGCATGTGCTACTATGCCCAGTGAAATATTTGATTTAAGTTTATGACAATCCTATTTAGTCATAGGAGAAAATATGAAATTCCTTAAAGCATAATTAAATTCACGATTTTTAAATGTCTGGTAATGAGGCTGGAGAGATGGCTCTTTTGTTCAGAGCACTTGGTGTTCTTGTAACAGACCAGAGTTCAGTTCCCAGCACCTACATGGCAGTTCACAACTGACTGTAATTCCAGTTCCAGGGGATCCAATGCCCTCTTCTGGCCTCTGTGGGTATTGCACGCATGTGGTACACAGATGTACACGCAGGCAAAACACTCATATGCATAAAATAAAAATAAATCGGGGCTGGAGAGACGGCTCAGCAGTTAAGAACACTGGTTCTTGCAGAAGACCTGGGTTCAAATCCAAGCACTCACATGGCAGCTAGCAACTGTCTATAACTCCAGTCCCAGGGGATCTGACAGCCTCTTCTGACCTCTGTGAGCATTGCACGACACCAGTGCACTTACCTACATGCAGGCAATACATGCATACACATAAAATAAAAATAATAAATAAAATTTTTTAAAAATCTTAAAAAAACCTGGTGGTTATCACTAGCCTTATATGATTAACATATTAAATCCAAGCTGAATGCTGAAAGAATTTATCTTGAATTAATTCTTCTTATGAATAAAAAATAGATCACATAACAACACTAAATTTTAGACTAAGGAGGTACTTCTGTCTACTGAAATCCAGCCTGAGCTTTCATGCTGTGACAGGGCTGTATAGTATACTGGCTTTGGCTCTCCTGATAGCATAATTCTAAAGCACTATATCAACAAGGATACAAGTTAGTAGATCTGACCTTGGGCATGGCAGCAGAGGCAGGAGAGAAGTCTTTAACATGGACACAGTGTGAATCTGTACCACGAATATTAAGCTCTTTCTTGTGGTGCGGGGGACTAAGGCCCAGGGCTTCATACATGTTTGAAAGAAGCATGTGTTCTACAGCTGAGCTGCCCTCCTAGTCAGGGTAGCATGCATATGGAACTGAGGAGCAGTGAGTATTTTCAGGTCCACATGTTGGACAAAAATCTGTTTTAACAAGTGGTAAAGCTGTCTAAAAAGCTACATATAATCCCTATAAAACTCTTGAAATGGGAACATTAAGCAAAGTTGGTGATCCTCATTTCAGAGGTCAGGGCCTGTAATACGCAAACTCCATTGTTTCATGTGACATCAAAGATTTATTGAGCCACCTGGTCTTATTGCAGAAAGCGACTCTGAGAATAATTCTCTCTGAGAATTACTGAGTCTACCTCATTACTTTGGACAAGAAAAAAAGAATTCAATGTTTAAGTTAACCATGAAGCAGATGAAAAACCTAGGTCTCCTGACTCCAAGTCAAGGGCTCGCCCTGACTACCAAGTAAGTCCCGTGGCTACCCTGGAAGTTACTGGCTTGTGAGGGACTGGCCTGAGGTGAGAATACCTGTCCCTGCTCACAGGTTGCAAATACGTAAGTATAGTAGAGAAATGTCCAGACTGAGCAATTCCTGCCCTTGCCCTTGGCTCCTGCTCTGAAGGAACCTTGCACACTTTGAGAACTTCAGGGAAGTTTAGTCTTAAAGGAGAAAGACAGCACCTGACAATGCCAGGCATTCCAAGAAGTTCATGAGTCTGTGCGTTGATTTATAGCCTTTAGAAAATGAAACGAAAAGAGAGAGATGGAAGATGAACCATTCTCAAGGTTGGCTGGGCCAGTGCTCAGACTCTTGAGAGAAATGGAGGGGAGATGTTCTCTCTCTATCATACATGGTGGGGAAGGAACCCAGTTCAATAGTGATTGTGTTCAGCCCCTTGAAGCACACACATTCTTTCAAGCCACAGTAGTGGGGATAGTCTCATTGGGCACAGACCACCTTTCCTTCCCCAGCTCCAAATGTCTCATGTAGTGCAGGCTGGCCTCAAACTCATTGTGTAGCTGAGGATGACCTCAAACTCCTGATCCTCCTGCCTCCACATTCCAAGCTCTGGGATGATAGGATGTGCCACCACATCTAGAATCCTTTTATTTAAATAAAACATTGGGACTTAGAAAACTGAGATTTAATGGACAAATATGACATGGGCATGTTTTTAAACATTTATTTATTTTTATTTTATGTGTATGAGTGTTTTGCCTGCATGTATGTGAGTGTACCATGTGTGTACAGTGCCCATGGAGGAGAGAAGAGGGCATCAGATCCCCTGGAACTGGAGTCATGGATGGTTCCTAGCTGTTACATCATGTGGATATTGGTAACCTGGATCCTCTGCAAGAGCAGCTAGAGCTCTTAACGGCTGAGCCATCTCTCCAGCCCCCATGAAATAATAATAACAATAAAAAATAATAATAATAAGTAGTAGTGAAGATTTGGTCACTGTGACAGTGTATGGGAGGATTTTATATTAGTGAGAGTGGGCTGGGCCAATAGCAATGCCAAATGTTCACATATATTGGGCCAGATATAAAATAAAAGCAACCTAAAGCAGAGGACGATTATAGCTTTAATAAGTAAACATTATTAAGCAACACTAAGCAAACCCAGCAATTTAAGTTTAGAAAAAAAAGAATGGATGGAAATGTGATTTGGGGGAAGACATGAGGTTCTCTTTTAAAAGAAAAAAATAATAGAGGCGTGAAGTTGGGGGAAGTAGTAGGATGGGGGTGGGGGTTGGGGAGGGTGTCTGAATATGATAAAAATACATCATATGAAATTCTCAAAGAATCAATAAAAATATTAAAAAAGAATGTAAGAGGAACATTTTAAATGAAATAAGTAGGTTCTGTGGAACCCTAATAGGTCTCCCAGATCAATTTCATTACTTCTGTACTAGCTGATCTTTCAAAATTTTTATTTATTTTTCATTAAAAAAATAATTTACAAAAGATTTTATTTTTAACTATGCGTTTCTCTGTGTGGGTCTGTGCGTGTGACTACAGGTGCCCTCGGAGGCCAGAAGACAGTGTCAGATCCCCAGGGCTGGAATTACAGGTGGTTGTGAGGTACCTGATGTGGCTGCTGGGGACTGAATTCTGGAAGAGCAAAACTCTCTTCACCACTGAGCCATTGGTCCAGTCCTTTGAACTCTGTTTTTATTTTTCATTTTTGCAAGGCTGGAGGTGGAACCCGGCACCTTGCACATGCTCAGTAAGTGTTCTCCTGCCAAGCGACACCCCCAGCCTTGATCTATCTCTGTTATATGGTATTTCAGACCTGAGTCTTACCTGGTAACTGTCCAGCCCTCTTTGCAACTTGGTGGACCTGGCAGTCACGCAGCCAATGGATATCGACAGGATGGCTTCAACCATGAGTGGCAGTGTCCCTGAATGCTGCACAGGTTGTACTGTGACCTGCACTCTACGAGAGTGACCCTGCAGAGGTGAGGGCGAAGAGGATGCCAGGAATGGGGATGTGGCACAGAAGAAGGGGATAAGAGAAAACAATTAGAGAACAGAAATACAAATAGGACATTCCTAGAGACTGTAAGATGGGGTAATCAGAAAATCTGGAAAACAAACAAACCACTTCATACCTGTCTGAGTTGGAAGATGCCGCCAGTGTTGACATCTTTGGCCTGATGGAGCTCCACTGCTGTATATTCCCCTAGCTCATTCAGTTCTAATATGGAGATCCACATTTCTATTCTACGAGTTACTTCATTCCACCTGCAAAAAACGGATCCCAACAAGCAGCAACATCATCATGCGGGCGACTTCTAGTAACAGCAACAGGAGACCACTCCCTGTACCAGGGATATCTCACAGATGATCTCCCCACTTAACTCTTATACAACCCTGTGGTACAGACTCTTAATATGTCTAACTAAAGTATAACTTATATTTGGCGATGTGCACAGACTGGGTATATAATTCTAAGGGCTTTGACAACCACATGTGTGTACTCACCTGTCATTACCCCAGAAAGGGCTCATGCCCCTTCCTATCCAGTTCCCACACTCCTATAACAGGTAAGCGCCTCTGCCTGTTCAATATGGAGATCCACATTTCTATTCTACGAGTTACTTCATTCCACCTGCAAAAAACGGATCCCAACAAGCAGCAACATCATCATGCGGGCGACTGTTAGTAACAGCAACAGGAGACCACTCCCTGCACCAGGGATATCTCACAGATGATATCCCCACTTAACTCTTAGACAACCCTGTGGTACAGACTCTTAATATGTCTAACTAAAGTATAACTTATATTTGGCAATGAGCACAGACTGGGTATATAATTCTAAGGGCTTTGACAAACACATGTGTGTACTCACCTGTCATTACCCCAGAAAGGGCTCATGCCCCTTCCTACCCAGTTCCCACACTCCTATAACAGGTAGGCACCTCTGCCTGTTCAAGAACTTCATAAAAATAGAACCATGAGGCGTGGAGTCCTGTGTCTGGTTTCCTTCATTTGATGCAATGAATGAACAATTCTTTTTTCGTTGGAGTTAATGAAGGTTGTTAGCTACCATGTTGGAACCGAACCTGGGACTTCTGCAAGAGCAGCCGGTGTTCTTCACCTCTGAGCCATCTCTCTAGCCTCAGTTCGTTCATTTTTAAATGTTCACTAGTGTTCTCTTGTATGAATAATACAACAATTTGTAGATTGGCCTGCTGAAGGACAACTGGGTTGCTTGCAACATGGGGTACTATGGATAGAGCTGCCGTGAACACTATTTGTGGACTTGGGTTTTCATTTCTCTTGAGTAAAAACCACCCAGGAGTGGGGTTACCTGGTCAGAGACAGGTACGTGATCAACTTTATAAGAAGTTACCAGTTTTAGGGCTGGGATTGCAGCTCAGTGGTAGAGCACTTGCCTCACATGCGTTAGAACCTAGGTTCGATTCCCAGTACCACCAGGAAAAGAAAAAAGAGATGGGGAGTTTTCGCTCAGGTTGTAGTCTGTCCATTTAGTTTCACAGTGATGCCTTCAATGTTGATTAAGTCTATCTTAATATTTTTTTTCTCTTCTATGGCTCATGTTTTCTGTGGTCTCTGAGAATCTGTGACCATTCCAAAGTCATGATTTTACTCTCTTCTTCCAGGCATCATGGTGCACACTGGTGACCGTAGCACTCACAGAGGCAGGACTGCAAGTTTGAGGCCAGCTGGTTTACATAGTGAGCACTTGTTTAAAACGACAACAAAGACTCAGGATGTGATGCTTATACCCGCAAACTTAGCACTTGGGAGGGTGAGGTATGTGGCTGCTATGGGATTGAGGCCAGCCTGGGCTATAGAGAAACCCTATCTCAAAAACCTCCAAACAAAATTTTTAAAAAAGGATATCCTACTATTTTCTTCTACCATATTCATAATTTTTGCTTTGCATTTAAATTTATCATTTTGTGGGGTGGGGGGAGCTGGCTCAGTGGTTAAGAGCACTGACTGCTCTTGCAGAGGACCCAGGTTTGGTTTCCAGCACCTACATGGCAGCTAACAACTGTTCATAACTACAGTTCCAAGGGATTTGATGCCTTCTTTCTGACCTCTGTGGGCATTGCACAACATGGGTACACTTATATACATGCAGGCAATACACTCATATGCATAAAATTAAAGTAAGAACTACAATACAAAAAAAATTTTGATTTGGGCCAACAAGATGCTTCAGCAGGTAAAGGGGCTTACTTCTAAGCCTAATGACCCTCAGGTCAATCTCTGGAACCCACATGGGGAAAAGAGAACTGACTCCAGTAAGTTGTCTTCAGAATTCTTCATGTGTGCCCGTATATATACACACGTACAAATAAATATGAAATGTAATAAAAATGTATGATTATCTTATAATTTTTGTATATGGTATGAAGTAAATCAACTTTTTCATCTAGATAATACCAGTTGCTTCAGTCTCACTGGTTACGACTTTAGACTTTTCCATCTTTGATGTATGACGGCTCCTAACATTCCAATTTTAAAGAGGAAACAGGTTCAAAGGTTGAGTAACTTGCCCGAAGCCCCCAGGGTTCAAAGCCTGCATTCCCACTCAGTCCTGGCCCCTAGGTCTAGTGTGTACAGCAGGAACGAACCTGTCATGTAAGGATCTCGTCTTTGCATGGAGCGAATCCACCTCCCAGATGGAGCTTCCATTTCCAGCACACCTGTGGCCCCACACTTCAATGGCCAGCGCTCCGTCAGAAATGAACTCCAGGAACTCTTCGGTGACGTTCACCACATAGTCCTGGGACGAGGAGAAGGAAGGAAGCGAGCACACCAAGGGTTAGGCAGAAGGACACTACTTAACCATCTTAGCCTTAGATCCTGTTTCTCGGGGAAGCAAAGGGAAGCACAGGACGTTAGATATGGAAGGGAAGATGGGCAGCAGCTCAGCTCAAATGGAGAAAGCAGCTGGCCCGAAGCTGAACTGCTGGCCGTTAGCTGCAGAGCCGAGACCTGCATTCTCTCACTTGGTTCACGGCTCATGCTCAGTTCCACAGAACCATTCTGACCTTCAGCTGACCTTGACTATCTACGCTTAGGAGATGAATGAGGAACTCAGCAATCTGTGATTACCTTCACGCCCTGTGTTCTTGCTTTACAGCTTTCTCTCTTCAATTCTTCATTCTAAAAACCAAACCTATGACTGTGGAAACCAACAGAATTCCCCGAGAATTGTGGCAGGTCACCTAGAACATTTAGTATGTCAGGAGCTAAGCCACTTTCTTTCCCATCAGCCTCCTGGGGGGAGGGGGGCTCCCAAGTAGAGACTCAGGTGCAGTCATTCTGTGACCAATTTCCAAAAACAACTGGATTATGGAAATCTAACCTTACACTACCTACTTTCTAATTTTACCTGGAGACAGACCCAGAATTTCAGAAGGAAAAGAAACATAATGGCCAATTAGTTCAATCTGCACTTTAGAGGCAAAACAAACATGAACTCAGTACCTTAGGGTCTGGTATATTTTTAAACAGCTGTTGTCTAATATACAGCCTTGTGTATCCAAAGAAGAATGAGGAATATTTATAAGACTTATTAAGAGAACAATAACAAAACAATGGGAGGGACTATTTAAGGGGAGGAGGGGGAGTCAGTGTGGGGATAGAAAGGGCAGTAGAAGAGGAGGACAGATTAGAACAAGGTAGTGATTCATATGTATGAAAACGTGATAAGGCCCATTATTACTTTGTATGGTAACTTAATAAAAAAACACACAAATATTTCATGTAAAAGAAATTAAAAACAGAAAGATCTCAAGCTACAGTCTTATTCCATACAGGTATAAACACCAGTGACAATTTTCTCCCTCTCCCTCTCTCTCTCTCCCTACCAACCTATCTATCATTTGTCTGTCTACCTATCATCTACCTGCCTATGTATCATCTATCATCTATCCATCCATCCATCCATCCATCCATCCATTATCTATCTATCTATCTATCTATCTATCTATCTATCTATCTATCTATCTATCTATCTATCATATCTATCTATCTATCTATCTATCTCTATCCATGTATCTCTATAACTCAATCTCTCTCTCTCTCTCTGTCTCTCTCTCTTTCATCTGTCTCCATTTTTGCCTACAAATCTCATATTTCCTGTATACTTGTTTTGTGACCCATTGTGTTTAACCAGGGTCATCTGTGTGGCCATGTATTTGGAGCTATCCATTGCTATGGTTATTTATTATTTTTATTTTATGTGTATGTGTGTATTGCCTGCATGTAGGTAAGTGCAATGCCTGCGGAGGACAGAAGAGGCTGTCGGATCTCCTGCAACTGGAGTTACGGACAGTTAGCTGCCATGTGGGTGCTGGGATTCGAATCTGGGTCTTCCACAAGAACAGTGTTCTTAACCACTGAGGCATCTCTCTAGCCCCAGTGCAAAGATTTTAAGAATGAGGCTCAGTGAATACAGGTGAAGAAACATAGACGGTTTATTTACAGAAAAAGAAAGACCTGAGAATCTTACACATGTGAAATTTTACAATTGACAATAGGAACTTGTTTCCTACATGTTGATCCAGAAAGAACAGACACAATGTAGAAAGGGGTCTGGATGGTTGTCCAGGAGAGGACATGTTACAGACAACAGAGCTTGTCTTCCAGGAATGGTTGGTTGACAGTCCCGTGTGAAAGACAGGAAGAGGTCTTAAGAAGGTTGAAGAACGTAGAGAATAGCTTATTAAAATATGCAGTGGGGCACAGTGGCATGCAACTGGTGTCTCAGCTACTCAGGAGTTCAAGGCCAGCACGGGCAACACACCAAGACTCCATCTCCAAATAATAAATAAATAAATAAATAAATAAATAAATAAATAAATAAATAAACAAACAGATAGATAAGGAGCGGACTGTCATTGGTGGGCATTTTAAAACTGCACCAACTTTATCACCTTACCACGCAGCTTACTCTACTATGGCTGTTTTGGTCCTGGGATTGATCCTGGGGACTCAGGCATGCTAAGCACACACATCACCCCCAAGTGACACCCCTGGCCTGAGAGTTCACTTTGTAGTAGTGTCTGTACCTTACAGTGAGAGAAGGTGACTGTGTACTGGGCATCCTTGGTCTGAGGTGAAGGCACGTCTGGGTCTACCACCGGAGCAGCCACTGTAGACTCGCACTGGTCCCAGAAGGTATACTGACAGAAGACGAAATTTGAGAGGCTTAAGGGGAGACCAGTGGCCTCTTTAATTTTTACCTGAAGAGATTTAAAAATAAGAATTATAACTCTCATATGGAAATATTAAACTAGATGGGTGTGGTGGTGCACACCGTTAGTTCTAGTACTCCAGCACGTGGGAGGCAAAGGCAGGCTGATTGCTGTGAGTTCGAGGTCAGCCTGTCTACACAGTGAGTTCCAGGTCATCTGGAGCTACAGGGAGACCCTGTGTCAAAAAGACAAAACAAAGAAAAAACCAAAACTATACATGCTTTTTGCTTTTTTTATCTCAATCATCTCAAATTTAAGATATCTGAGAATATCTGAGGTTGTTCTTTAAGTTATCTATCTGTATTCTTTTTAAAATTTTAAAAAATATTTTATTAGCCGGGTGTGGTGACACACACCTTTAATCCCAGCACTCGGGAGGCAGAGGCACACAGATCTCTGTGAGTTCAAGGCCAGCCTGGTCTACATAGCGAGTTCCAGGCCAGCTGAGGCTATTGGGAGACCCTGTCTCAAAAAAGACCGCCCCCCCCAATTTTTTTTATTATTATTTTATGTGTATGAGTGTATTTCCTGCATGTATGTAAGGACAGCCATGTTGTACAATGCCCACGGAGGTCAGAAGAGGGTGTTGGATCCCCTGGCAATATGGGTGCTGGGAATTGAATCATGGTCCTCTACAAAAGCAGTCAGTGCTCTTAACTGCTGAGCCACCTCTCCAGCCCCTCAGTCTGCTTTCTTATACATTCCAGTACCACCAGCCCAGGGATGGCACCACCCGAAGTGGGCTGGACCCTCCCACATCACTTAGCAATTAAGAAAATGCCTCACAGACATGCCCACAGGCCAATCAGATAGAGGAAATTCCCCAATTGAGGTTCCCTCTTCCCATGTGTCAAGTTGACAACCAAAGCTGTCCAGCACAGTAGACCACAGAGAAGTGGTTTCTCATAGAGTTTCAGAATAGGTTGTTACACTGGCTGTAAGGACCAAACACCCATTTTACACAGTCAGATAGTTGAAGTGCTGTGAGCTCAGATCTTGAAACCAAGCAGCTTG